GGGGGAGCCGCTCGCCGCGGGAGCGTCAGGTGAGAGGACGCCCGGCCCAGGGTCACCAGGCGTGGGGAGACTGGGGGGTCGGGGACCACCCTGGCTCTGACCCTGGTGCGCTCCGAGAAGGGCGTGGGTCTTGGAGGGGGATGGGCAACGCGGAGGCCACGCCCTCCCTGAGCCCGGCCGAAAAGGTCTCCCTGAGACCGGCGCTCGTGGGTAGCAGAGGAGACCGTGGGGAATACAGGCACCGGGTCGCAGTGCTGCAGAGGTGCGCAAGGGCCGCCCGGAGACCAGCTTGGGCCTCGCACTGTGCCCTAGGCGGCACAGGGCGTTCCATCCTCTTCCCTCCCCGCCTCCCACACAGAGGGGCGCCCAGGAGGCAGTTACAGTCGTCGCGGAATCCTGCGTGTGACACCCCGCCCCTGCCCAGCGGATTAGGGGGTGTCCTCTGGTAAAAGGATTTCTAGGCTTCTTCCAGCCTGGGGCCCTCATCCCTGCTCTGGCAGGCCTTTCTACACCAATCTGCATCTAGGGGGGGCAGCGTGAGCAGCAGCGCCCTGAGATCTGAGGCCAAGAACCTTCTCCACTTGAGAAGCCTTCCTGCTGGAGGCTGACTGGGCCAGGCCTGGAGCCACGTACCAACCCTTTTTACCCAGGGAATGGATCCCAGGGGCCCAGATAATGCCCCCAACTTCTTGGGGTTCACACGCATCTTGAGACATCTGGGAACTGCCTCCGCCTGGGCCAGAGCTATCCATTAAAACTTTATTGCTGTGCTTATTTATCTCTAGTGACTTTAAATAATCATATGACTTACAATTTAGGGCAAGATTTAAACAAACACCAAGGCCACTTGGTCCCGTCCCTTTCCACATGACTCGGCAAAGAGGAAGAGCTGGTGGACAGGCAAATGTTTGGGGAGGCCTGCCAGATGAGGCTGGGAGACAGGACACCTGCAGCCCTGTCTTCCCTGGCTTCGGGTAGGCTGGCTGGCTTAGTCCAGATCCCTGCTTTTAAAACTGGGCTCCTTGTTCCTGAAACCAGACCCCAGCCTTCCCATTTCTTTAAGATAAGTACATGCATATGGTCCCCCAGCAAACTCCCTGCTCCTTGCTGATTTCAGAGGTCACACTGCTCCCAGAGCCCATTTGGGAAGCCACACCAGAAACCCAATTGGTGGCCCAAGGCCCCCGCCCCATCCCACCCCAGCTTTCCCAGGGCCCCATCTATCCCCAAAGACAGGACACCTTTCTGGGGGCCAGCATGGGAAGCACAGACCCATGGCTCCTGAGCCGACTTTCCCATTTTTCTCATCCCCCAATTCTCTGACAGGTTACCTGAGAAAAAGACCCAATTCTAGTTAAGCTGGTCCCACCCCTAGGCCAGGAGCAGGTGCTGGACAAAGCTGTGCCTTGAATTCCCTGGGGCTCGTAGCTCCTCTGAAGCCAGCTCTGCCCGGGCCCCCACAGGATGACAAGGAGGTGTGTCTGCCCAGGGCCTGTTCTCCCCTTCCTAGCTATGCTTGGGTAATGGGGCCCCAGGCTTTGTCACCTAAGCAAAGTTCCCAAGCCCATACCCTGTACTTCCAGCTTCTTGCACTGTAGAACCAAACAGCAACCACTTGCCTGGGGGTAGAGTCGGGGGCAGCAAGCGACACACATCCATGTCCTGAGCAGGAAGCTCCTGACCTGCTGGGCATGGGTGGAGGAGGAAGGGAAGGTGACAGGGTTGGGTGGCTCTCCCTACATGGTCACATCCTGTGAAGAGGACACCAGGAATTCTAAATTCGAACCTGATACCCCAGAGCTTTAAGAAAATGTTTTTGTCAAAGGAGAAAACCGAACGTTTTATTCGTTTCTTGAACCGATTTATAGCGTCAAAAGTTAGACGCAGGTGCAGGCCTCCATTCCATCTATTGGCTGGCTCTCGACTGCCGAGACTGGCCTGCCAACCTGTGTTTCAGGAGGGCACGCGTCCGCGGCTGAACCGCGGAAGGGCCGGTGAGGAGCTGGGCCTCGGGAGATGGCCCCGGGGGCCCCCGCGCTGCTGCT